AGATCTCCCTGTTATAATATTCTGTGAATTTGCGGACATTATGCACTTCAGCTATCTTTGTTTAAAATCACAATGGCAAGTTTATTTTTTGGAGCTACTGTGGAATCCAAACAGTAGAAAGTATATATAGGTGATATTATGAACCAAAACCTCTAACATAATTTCTCCAGTTACTTACCTTATTGTTGTTACACTGACACATGGCTCCAAAAATGGTTCTTATTTCTGAGTCTAAAATCCCTGCCCTTTGATCTGGCTCCTAATTGCTGAGACCCGAGATGCAGAACTTTTAACTCAATTTCTTCCAATGTCATCAGTTATAACTGGAACTACATCTTTCACTTCTCTGTTGAAAATTTTCTACCTGGTCTACGATAAATCCTTATCCTGGCCCTGAAGTAGCATACCAGTCTAGACTTTTAATTGCATTGTAAATTGCTGATCTATTCCTAACTAAAGAATCCTCCATTAGTACTGCATTTCTCTTGGTCTTCTTTGAGTTGTTTCTGTCAAATTTACATATAATTGAATGCCTCTAACTTTTCAACACTCTCAGGCAGTCCCTGCTTCATGTTCCTAATGTGATAGATGGCTGCTCACTGCCCTTGCTCAACCTGCAGGTTGCCATTTCCTCAAGTGTGTATTTTAACAACACGTCACTTCCCAAACATGGCTGAATAAATGGCATTTTCCTAGCCCTATGGAGACCTTTAAAAGCTGGGTTGGAGTTTGAGAAATTAAAATGTCATAATGGCTCCCTGTTGTGTTCCTGCTGTCACATTCTTTATTTGGATGTGCCATTGCAGTGGCAACAGTAGTGCACCTGGATTGGCAGGTTGAAAGGTAAGCCAATTCATGAGGTGGTTATTTGGCATTTTGTAAGCAGACTGCAATTTTTCCAGTGTCATACAGATTCCCGCTGTGAACTCTGGTAGGTAAGAGGAGGCAGCTACACAGTGGGAAGTGAAGGTTGCATTACATACTTAACTGAGATTTAACTGATAGTGACAGAAATGGGCAAGGCTGCTGCTGCTCTCACTCAAGGCCAACATTAACCGCACTAGAGACGATTCTCCGGCATCCCCAGTTTCTTTAGTCCAATCTTTTGACACTGTCACATTCACTAGCTTCAGGCAAGAGATTGTCCTGTTTTCAAATGAGGTCAGGAGTTGAAATGGCTCAGGCTTTAACCTAAGCTTCATTGAATTTTCTCTCCCAGTTTACAACCATGAACACACCCTCCAATAACTCAACCTTTCTAAGTCAGGTGTTCTGAAATATAAATTTTCCTGTCAACTTGTTTCCATTATTATTACGACAGCATTTGTAATTGTTGATGTTAAGTTGTCATAGTGTTATTTTACACCCGTTGACAACAACAATATTGCTGCAGCACCCGCACTCCCAGCAATTCAAACTGTAATCCTGAGTGACTTGGTGCACATTAAGATACAGATAAAACAGATGACCTTTCTTTCATTCACTCATTAGATGTGGGCACCGCTGGCTGGCTGGCCAACATTTATTGCCATCTTTAGTTGCCCGTGAGAAGGTGGCGGTGAGCTGCCTTTTTGAATCACCGTAGTTCACGTTGCTGTAGTTTGACCCACCATGTCCTTAGGGAGGGAATTGCTAAGGATTGGAATTCCTTGAATTTTTAAATAGTGAATGTCAGAAGACTGACATAGAAAGCCAAATATAGAGTTTAGCTAAGCATGGACAAGGGTTTCATCAGCAGGTGAAGTAAGACAAATAGGAGCAGGAGCACAGGGGTTAGTGAAATGAATCTTCTCAGAACTGCTTGAATGCTTGGAATACAGTTCTAATGACAAAATATAGAAAAGAACTGGTGGTCCTGAAAAACACTAAAGGAGTAGAGAAGCAGCAAGGGATGTGGAAGATTCCCAGCATTTCCTGATCATTCATGTCTACACATAATTATTCCCAATTCCACATGGACATCTGGAGCTGTGCCACATTGCTAGAACTCCCTAACTGCACTGAGGGTCTAGGTGAACACAGATGGTTTTAGTGAGGTTAAAAACTCATCTTGGGACCAAATGACACCAAGGTTGTGAACGATCTGTTTTAGCGTCACCATTGCAAAGGAGAGGGATGAAGCTGATACTTTGAAAATGTCGATTGTGGTGGTGAACAAATGCAATGGTATTGATATTGGCATTCCCAATATTCAGTAGGAAGAAGTTTATATTCATTCAGTCCAATTAGGCAAATCATGCGTCAAATTAGAAGCATGGTTTGGTTTATTTTGTTATCAATTTGTCTGTGTAATAAATTTCTGTTTTATTGTTGAAGCCAAATCTGCAGCCTTAATTCCTTATGTTTAAATGAAAAATCATGATGGAAGATACTTCAAACATCCCATTAATATGAAAGAATATAGGGGAGGAATCAAGTACCATAACCTTCACTATAGAAGCAGTATTAGACAAACCAGTGGGGCTAAAGGCAGATAAGTCCTCTGACCCTGATGGTCTGTATGCTAGGATCCTAAAAGAGGCAGCAACAGAGATAGTGGATGCATTAGTTATAATTTTCCAAAAATCTTTGGATTTTGCTTAAGTATCAGAAGATTGGAAAACTGCCCTTTTGACACCCCTATTCAAAAGGGGAGGGAAGCAAAAAGTTGGGTAACTAAGGCCGATTACTCTAACATATATTGTTGGAAAAGTATTGGAAATAATTATTAAGGAAGTAATAGCAGAACATTTGGAGAAGCATATTCTAATTAAGCAGAGTCAGCAGAGCTTCATGAAAGGGAAATTATGTCTGACAAATGTGGGTCCATTATAGGCAGAGACATGAGAATTTATAATGAGATAGGGAAATGGCAGAAGTGTTATACAAATATTTTCTCTCATGTTGCATGGAGGAAGACAGGGGAGATTTCCCAAAAATAATACAAATCCAAGGAACTGATGAGAATGAGGAACTGAAAGAAATTAGTGTAAGGAAAAATGTAGTTTGGAGAAATCAATGATCTACGTGTTGAAAGATTTATGGGACACAATGATCCACATCCCAGAATGTTGAAAGAAGTAGCTATTATAGTGGATCCACTGGTTGGTCATCTTCCAAAATTCGAGAGACTATGGAACGATATCTCCAAATTGGAAGGCTACCATGCAACCCCATTACTTAACAATGGAGGGATGGAAGAACTCAGAACTACAGGCCTGTTAGCTTGATGTCAGTAGTAGCAAAAATACTATTATATCTTTTATACATTATAATAAAAGTCTATTGCAAAGGATGTAAAAACTGAGCAATTAGAAAATAATGATCTAATTATGCAGAGGCAATATGGATTTATGAACAGGAAATCAGGTTCGACAAACCAGTTAAGAGTTTTTTGTCGATGCAGTGTAGTTAAGGGGAAACTAGTGGATACAGTGTATTTGGATTTTCAGAAGGCTGTCAATAAAGACCCACACAGAAGGTTAATAAACCAATCTAGAATACGTGATAGGGAAGTAATATACCGGCATAGTTTGAGGATTAGTTAATAAGAGGAATAAATAGGTCATTTTAGATGCAAAGAGATTTCAAGGGGATTTTGACAGTGAATGGGTAAAAATATGCCAAATAAAATATGATGTGGATATAAGTGAAATTATCCACTTCAGTAGGAGGAATAGATGTGTAAAGTATTTTTAAGTGGTAAGTGATTGGGAAGTATTAATGTCCAAAAGTCTCTGAAAGCTAACACAGAAGTGGAACAAGCAATTCAGAAAGTAATTGGTATGATGACCTTTATCGCAAGACCTTTTGAGTCCAGGAGTAAAGATATCTTTCTTGAATTACATAGAAGCTTGGCGGACTTTATTCCGACCATTCTGTGCATTTTTGCTTGCCTTACCTGAGAACGGAAATAAGTAAACAACGAATTCCTGTGATTGTGTGTCTGTCCCATGAGGAGACATTGAGGACACTGTGCTTATAACACTCAAGTTCAGTAGAAAGAATGATTCACCTGGTTAGAAGTCTACAACTAAGGAATACACTGAGAGTAAGAGAAAAACTATTTAGGACTGAGCTGAGAAACTTTTTTAACTCAAGAGGGTAGTGAGCCTGTGAAATTCTCGACCCAGCGGGCAGTGGAAGCTCTTACAAATGTGAAAACTAGCCATAGTCCCAAACACAATCATCCACACATTCTGACCAGCAGTATTGCAGAAAGAGTGTACACAGTTGCTGTTGTATGTACTTGTATGCTGTTTACAGTATAATCCTACAGACTTCTGGGACGGTTCAGAAGCAGGCTGGTTGGGGGTGGTGGTAAGACTTTGACAGTCACTAGTAAAGCATGACTAGCTGATCCATTTGACAGCATTTTTTTATTTCAACAGGCTGCATATCTGCCCTGCTAATTTACCTTCTACAATCATCCCCTAACCCAGGTTTGCAACCATGTTAAAATGCCCTCCAGAGATTAATTTGCATCAATAAGTGCCAGAGGGAAGGAATGACACCTTTCTGAAACAAATGTCTTTATCTCCTTGTTTCACATTTAAAATATGTCCATTTATATGAAGAATAGGTAGTAATAAACAGATTATAATTGAAACATAAAACCAATTTTACACCCAAATTTATTTAACCCATTGGCTTCTAGTTAATTCATGCTAAATAAAAGAAAATTCAGGTTAAAGTTACTTCAATATTTTCAGTTGGTTAAGTAAGTGTGATCATGAAGAAAACTAAATTATTTCAATACATTCTGCTTAAATTATGCAATATCATTCATCACAGTTGTAGAAATATGTATAATCCAAACTCCCCTGTCAGCCTAAAGAGAGTTGTAGAAAGATAGCATGTGCTGACTGTATGACTCTATGACCCTATTTTCAGATATTTATAAGCACTGGCTTAAGAGAAGTAAAATGTCTATCTACTTGTTTTCCTTTCAATGACATACTAGATTCAGCAAAAATCTAACAAAAGATAAGACAGGAAAGAAAATTATTTGTAAAAATTACCTTGAATGACACCTAGCAGACTGTAAAAGACCAAGTATCCTTTTGGGTTGTTGCAGTGCTGAATCCAACTTGGTGTAAATCTTCCCCAGCCACATGGCCCTTCCTCAATCTCTTGCTTGGATATTTCCACTTTTGCAATATTTTCTTGTTTTGAGTTTTGTCCTACATTGAGGTCGTCATCAGTAACGAATGTAGGATTATCCACTCCTTGGTCCATTTTGTTAATTATGTCAAAACAATCGTGTCCAGCAGTTTAAAAAAAGCAGTTTGAGGACAGTGAACAAACTGTATAACCTAAAGTCCTTCCACATAAATAGTTCTTTTATATAATTTGTTTCCTATTCTGGACGTTATATAGTTTCAGTACACTACATTCCACATCTGCCAGCTGACTGCAAAATACGAATTAGTTTTTCTGACAAAGGAATTGGTGTGTTTGCAATCTATGCAGTTGTAAATTCTGTTCATCTCTGCCCAGAAGTAACGTGTAGTACTGCATTTCCATCAATTAGAGGCGGAACAAGAGTTCTAGTTAATCCAATCAGAGTGCGTATATTTGCAGTTATCTGAGTAATATACATGCCAGTTAATGTCTGTTTTGCGAAATATCCCATCTACAGGAGATATATTTTCAACCAATCATCAAGGTATTTCCATTTTCATACAAATGAAATCTGATATTCAGAGTAAACATTCAGTCAACTTAAGATCAAATTCGTGCATTTCTGCACCTTAACTTCCAGTAAAGCAGAAAGTCTATTATGCTTAACTTCCTTGAAAATGCTGCCACTTGCTTAACCCATTCAACACTGAAAAAAGTTCATCCCAATCAAGATTCACTGGTGTCGTAGAAGAAAATAATGTGATAGGAAAGCGAAAATATGAATAATGTAGGAAAGAAACAACAGGTGCAGGAAGTTGACCAGGGCAAATTACGAAATAAATACAAATACTTACATACATATTAGTGAGTTTGAAGGGATTGAATACCCTCTAACCTGCATGACACATATAAGAAAGAAACATGTTTCACCGAATTACCAATTTAGTAAGATGTCACAAAAAGAGATAGACAAGGACAAACTGAAACTGATAATTGAAATAATAAAATAAAACCAAGGTGTCAAGTTTGGCTTCGGGTATTGAAGAAACTGAGAAGAAGCCGCAAGGTGAGAATCGGGGGAGGGACAGTAGTGGCAGAATTGGGCCTGGCAAGGGGGCACAGGTCAGGGGGCGCAGGTCAAAGGGGAATAGGTCAGGCTGGGTTAGAGGGTCCCGGGGGGGTCGGGTGCCTGGAGGAAGCTCCAGGAGAGAACCGGAGGGAGGACCGGGCTGAGGGATCCGAGTGCAGTAGGGGGCTGTGACTCAGTGCTGGGAGTGGTACTGTTCCCACACCGAGCAAGCTCCCTCATGCTCCACAGTCCTTTAACAATAATAACACCTCTGGTGAGGTGGCGGTGGGGGACGTGGCCTGATAATCCGATCACGAATCTCATTCAAGACAACAAGGTGCAGGGCTGGATGAACACAGCAGGCCAAGCAGCATCATAGGAGCAGAGAGGC